GCACCCACGTTGGGTGGCTCAAAATTGCCTGTAACTCCTAACTGCAGAAGATCTGACACCCTCTTCTGACCTCTGCTGGCACCCATACATATCAGACACATACATGTACACATAACCGAAAAATTTAAAGTAAATCTTTTTACTTTACATATTCATACCCACTTTCACCAAAATGCATTTACTAAGTAAGGGCACCAAAACCACTAAACTAATGTTCAGGGAAAGTATTTTGAAGAAAAAAAAATGGCCTTTAGTGGTGAACTCACAGGAGGAAGCTTGAAGGCCTCCAGGCGGACTGGGGAAGAGGTTGCAGGGCCCAGAAGAGGCAAACGTTAAGGGTGTGGTGAACCGAAATAAACGGGAGCTAAGGAGCAGCTAGCTTGGTCATGGCTGTCAGCTCAACTGTGGTGATGGCTTGGTTGCAGGGATGCAGGGATGGAAAACACAGGAGGTGCTAGGAACCACATCCAGGTTCCTGGTGTAGAACCTGCACTATTTCGATGGAGGGCAGGACACAGGGATACAGTTCCCTCGGCGCAGTCAAGTTCAGCACTACACCATTCATGCTGACAGATCCCAGGTGTCTGGAGGGCAGGGAAGACTAGCTGGAGATGAGAATGCAAGGGGCTGACACAGACTCCTGGGGCTCCCTCACTCTCATGCACCCAAGAGGCAGGCCAAGGAAGGAGTATGTAAGGAAGAGCCGTCTGAAAGGACCACGGCTCAGGTAGCTGTCAGCACCACCCTCCCCTCCACCTTACCAGAAATGTTATATACATTATCCCTATGCAGTAAATAGAACAGACTCTTAGTGTAGCTAGAAAAACAAGTCAATGGCACCTGGAGTTCTCCTTCAGAGACCTAGCTGCCACTAGTTCATATAAGTTATAGAAAGTGTATTAGTCCATTTGGGGGCTGTAATGAAATACCCAAGCAGGCTACTGTATAAGGAAAGGGGGGTTAATTTAGCTTACACTTCTGGGGGCTGAATGTGTAGGACTCACATCTGTTGGTAACAAAAGCAGCACAGTGCATCCCGTGACAAGAGCTAGGACATCCTGCCCACAAAACTAGGAGACTCAGTCTAGACGCTGCGCCCTACACGTTTGAATCCCTACCACTTCCCAAAGGCATCTCAACATTGCAATTAAGTCCCTACCTTCTTAATACCCTTCAATTGAAATGAATATTAGTAGTGATACAAAAGAAGTTTTAGGGAACATTTAAACCATAAATAAACAAGGCTTCCAACCAGCTCCTCTTCAGCTTGCCCCATGCCCATGTCTGTTCTCATTTCTGGGCTCTTGGCCTCTTTTAGAGCTGGTTTTGTGGTTGCCGTTGCTCCTTGTTGTCTGGGTGGTAGCAATACAGCAGTTCCCTTTGCCAGTGCTTGGGCTTCGGGTGCAGCAGCAGCTGAGGAAATGGCTGGAGAGATGGCTCGATGGTTAAGCTCTCGCAGAAAGCTTGCGCTTGGTTCCTGACGCCCACCTCAGGTGGCTTATAACTCCTGCGGCTCCAGCTCCACAGGAGCCAATGCCCTATTCTGATCTCTGTGGACCCCCACACTCACGTTCACACACCTACATATAGACACACACATAATAGAACATAAATAAATAATAAATAAATTGAAACCCAGGAGAGCCTGATCTTAGGGCCCAGAGTTGCCATTGCGTGTCCTTGTCATTCTTCCAGGGTCAAACTCCTCCCTTCACTCATAGTTTTCACTCTCAGAGACTTGGTGCTTACAGCTTCCCCTGGCTCAGACAGATCCCCTGTACCTAAACATAGGCAATACCTCCTTTTGGAAGCCTTTTACAGGGGCTGAACATAGTAGCACATGCCTGTAATCCCAGCTACTCAAGGAGGCTGAGGGGAGGGTCTAGGAGGAGGGAGTTCTAGGCCAGCATGGGCTACACAGCGATACCCTGTCTCAAAAATTAAAACAAGCCAACAGGGCTGAGTGGTGTGACTCAGTGGTAGAGATAAGGTACTTAGCATGAGGCCTTGGCATAGAGCCCAGTGCCAGAGAAGGTTGTAGGGCAGGAGTGTGGGTGGGGAAAGCCAAAGATCCCTGCAAAGGCCAGGCGCTGTTAGGAAACCCAGCCTGGGATGGGCAGGTTCTCATTCTAGATAGCTTCTGAGTGGGTTTCCTGTTAACCCAGACATCCTATCCCCTCTACTCCCCTGCTTCCTCCTGACCTTGAGGCCAATGCTGGGCCTCAAAGCAGTTTTTTTTTTTCTTTTTGTGACTTTTCCATGACCTCAGGCAAATAAAAGGGTGCCCTGCGTCCTCCCCCCCCCCCAAGTCGGCTAGGCTGTGAGTTGCTCCCACAGACCCTGGTGAATGTCTATGAAATCCCACAGTATAGCCACAGCCATCTTGAACCTGCACGTCCAAGTACAAGGCAATATTGATCTGTCTGTAGTCAATCCTGAAAGGCAGAATCAGGATGGAACCGGCGGTGCCCTTAGAGTTGGCAAAAGCATCTCCTCCCTGGGTGGGAACACCTCCCTCCTCTCAGCTTAGCTCTGTCCAGCCCAGGTTCTGGCCAGGAGGTACTTGGTCCCTCTGGGTTCTCAAGCAATCTTTGCTTATCTCTGCCAACACACTTGTCTTTGGTTTGGTTGCTTTGAGACAAGCTCTAGCCCCAGCTGTCCTAGAACTCATGGTGTAGTTGAATCTGGCCTTGAACACTTAGAAATACTGCCTGGATTCCAGGAGTAAGCCACCACAGCTACCTGTTCAGGGATTTGTTTTTTTGTTTTTGTTTTTTTTTTGTTTTTTTTTTTTTTTTTTGATTTTCGAGACAGGGTTTCTCCGTAGCTTTTGGTTCCTGTCCTGGAACTAGCTCTTGTAGTCCAGGCTGGCCTCGAACTCACAGAGATCCGCCTGCCTCTGCCTCCCGAGTGCTGGGATTAAAGGCTGTTCAGGGATTTGATCCCCACAATCTTGCATGGAGGAGCTATTTAGTGATGCTCGTTTACTTAGAGTCAGCATGGGGAAAAAGAATCCCAAGGGAGATGATTCCTTTCTTTCTTTCTTTCTTTCTTTCTTTCTTTCTTTCTTTCTTTCTTTCTTTCTTTCTTTCTTTCTTTCTTTGGTGAATTCCAATCTTTGGGAATTTAGTTTATATAACACAATGCCACAAGTGTCTAAAGTTACAAAGATTCTCCAGTGCTCTTCCCTGTGTTGAAACTTGTGATGATCCCCTTTTTTTTTCCTTTTGTTTTTATGGGGCTGAGTACGGAACAAGAACTTGGTGCATGTGTTTTGTGAGGCAGCTGCTTAGTCACTGAGCTGTACTCCCCACCCTCCCTCCTCTGCCTGGCTTTGAACTTGTACTTTTCCTACCCCAGCATCTCTAGTATCAAGACCACAGGCGTGCATCAGCTGGGACAGTTGCAATCTCTCAATCAGTTTTGAGCAAGGATTCTTGTTTGTTTGCTTTGTTTTGTTGTTTATCAAGACAGGGTTTCTCTCTGTAGCCCTGGCTGTACTGGAATTCACTCTGTAGACCAGGCTGGCCTGGAACTCATATTCAAGGTTCCTATCTGAGATCCACAAATCCCTATGTCTATGGCTTTCTTTAGTCCCCCAGAAATGTTCAAAACCATTTTTGTTAGTAATACCCAGTTGTGGTGGTACATGCCTTACTTCAAGCTTCTCAGAAGGCTGTGGCAGAAAGAATACAAGTTCGAGGCTGGCTTGTGCAACTTAGTGAGCCCCTGTTCCAAATTAAAACTAAAAAGGATCTGGGGGACTTGCCTATCATGGCAGAGCCCTGGGATGGGGTTCAAGCCTTTGTACCTCGAAATAATAATTACAGTACTAGTAGCTAACGTTTAGGCAGTGTTGCCATGTGCCAGGCCTGTTGCATATGTTGCTAGGCTCACTGGATTGGAGCAGAGCTTCCTTCCAGGTATTCCCAATCTTTTAGCTACTGACCTCAGAACAGGAGGAACCCACCGCTGGACCCTCTCTTCTCCCGTGGTGTTTGCAGAAGCCCAAACCCTGTCCCTACTGCCTTTGTTTAGAGGAGGGTAGCCACTGTCTGCTTGCTCTTATTCCCACTTCAGGTCCATCAGTATTCCACTTTCCCGGCGGTGGCTTCCTCCTTAGTCAGGCTGGGAAGAGGGGACTCCCTCTGGCAGACAGGAGCTAGTTGCCGTACTAGCAGGTGCATTTCGGATCTGTTTGGAAAGGCAGGCTGCCCTTTAGGAACCTAGAGAGATACCCTAGGGGGCTGGCTAAGCACTGAGAAGGAGCCTTGGTCCTTCCTCCTCCTCGCATTGCCTCTCTTGACAAAGTCTGGGTCTGTTACTGAGTCTGCTAATCCTGCTTTGTGACCCTGCTGCTGCAGTTGTGGAATGCCGACCCCATTAATCACACCGCCTAGGCTTTGTGGAAACAAAATGAAAACTGAAACCTAAAAAACAAGCGCATGGGTATGTCCTGAGTTTTTCCATAGCTCAGGGAAATTTGTGAGTTTGTAAGCTTGCATTAAATCAAACCTCTGGTTGCAGAGGACCCTGGCTCCACCCTCCCCTCTCCTAGCTCTGTCTCACTTCTTTCCCTTAGAAACCTTCTGAATTGTTTACTTCCTGCCCTTGAGAAGCTAGCCTTGCAGTGTTATACCAGTTTGGGGTTGTTTAGGAACACGCCTCCTCTCCTAATCCAACAAGCCATTATGGCTTTGGGTCTGGGTTCCTGCGTCTTATCATCTGTCCCTCCCGCTTTCGGCTTTCATCCTCCCACTCTGGCCTCGCCAACAGAATGTCTTATTATACCTGTGTGTAGGGAGTCTTTCTTCAACAAACGCTAGATTGTTCTCGCTCCCTGGCCTCCTGGTTTGCTATCACTTACAGCCACTGATCCGGCCAGTGTATGTTCAGCTCGGTCCTGATAAAACAAAATTAAAGACCCAATGCATTGTCCCAGAAGTGTTCAGTCAGCAAGAGAGATGAAACAATTTTGTCGAGAATGCTGCACTGGAAGATAAGGGAACAATCCCAGCTGCTTGCTGCCGCCTCTCTGCCAGGAGACATTTTTCTACTGCCTCTCTTCTAACAAGTTCCCGAGTCACATTCCTCCTAAGCAGGGAGAGATGGGGACCTGCTTATGCACTGAAGTCCTCCACTGGGCCCTTCAGATTAACCTGTGAGGCAGGTGAGAAGAGGAATGAAGTGTCAGACGGGTTAGTAGTTTGTCCAAGTAAGCTAACACAGAGGGGCGCTGAGGTCTGGGTCCTGCTCTTCGCACCAGCACAAGGGTCCCGGCTCATGAGTTCGTTCATTCTCCCTCACTAGGTTCTGAGGTCCTGCAGGACGAGGGTGTTGTCTCATGTATACATTCAGGACTTTCCAAATATCGATTTCTTTCCTCTCCCTCCCTCTTCTGTCAATAAAGACAGGCTGGGATGTGTAACTCATGCTGAATAAAGATAGGCTTGGTGGCATTCAAGAGTGTATGTATGCCCAGGTAATTCACTGAAGAAATAACACTGATACACATGGCACGAATAATCCAAGGCAGTTAAGTATTTACTGTGCTTAAATGGGTAGCTGAAGAAAGGGGAGGAGTGGGGGAAAGTGGACTGCACAGAGGAGGAAGAAGTCTTGAACCTGGGAAGATGGGATGGGGTTTCGATCTGCTCATCAAATCTAAAAGTCTGCCCTCTACCTTGGCAGGCCTGGTGCTGAGTATGGGATAGGCTGGGAAATCAGGATAGATAAGTAATGGGGTATTTGGGGGCTGAACTTGGTGTTTTCAGGGAAAAATAAGAAACCGAGGCTTAGAGCTATCACATAAGGACACTGTCCCATATGACGGTGGGAATAACATCTCCCTCCAAAGAATGCTGTTTAGATGAGATGAATGAGGGATGTGATCCAGTCGCCAGCATCAATAAGTCTCTTTTAGACTACTCAGCAATACTGCCATCTTCTCGGGAAAAAGTCAGTGCCTAGTGTCAGAGGGACACAGCTTTTCCTGGAGATCTTCCAGCTTTGAGTTAATTGTTCTCACTTTTGAAGCTGTGACTCCTGACTGTATCCCACAGCCGAGAGCTGTCCAGAGAAGAAGCACTTATTCCCAAAAGGTTGACACCTAAGATGTGTGTGGAACCAGTAAGCAGGACCCAGTCCGCTCTAAGGAGGAGTCACACAGAGTGCAAACTTCAGGTCATGGGGCAATATAGCGCTGGGTGTGGGGGTGCCCATCTGCCCATCTGTAATCCCAGCACTTGGGATGCAAAAGCAGGAGGATCAGGAGTTCAAGGCTAGACTTAACCACATAAGACCCTGTCTCCAAACAAACAGAAATAGTAAGAAAATGCAAGGCTTTTGACAACTTTTCTCAGTTTTTCTTTTTTTTTTTTTTTTTTGTTTTTTGAGCCTGTCCTGGAACTAGCTCTTGTAGACCAGGCTGGTCTTGAACTCACAGAGATCCGCCTGCCTCTGCCTCCCAAGTGCTGGAATTAAAGGTGTGTGCCACCACCTCCCGGCTCTTTTCTCTGTTTTTCTTGTCATTTGAATTTTCGGTCACCCTTGCCAGCATGGCTATGCATGGCTGGGTGCTCTGTTAGAGCAAACAGGATCTTAAAGCATGATCCGCTCTGTCCAAATTTCTTGTGGGAAACAGTCTGGAACCCTGGTCACCTTGGATATCGTAGCTTAAATCAGGGTCTTGGCCAGAGTTTGTTTGTTTGTTTTTGAGACAGTATCTCACTGTGTAGTCCTGGCTGGCCTCGAACTCACAGAGATCTGCCTGCCTCTGCCTCCTGTGTGCTGGGGTTAAAGGCGTGCACCTCCATTCCCCAAGTCATTTTATTTTTGAAAGAGGGACACTCTGTGTCACCCGGGCTGGCCTCAAAAGCCCTGAAGTCAAGCAACTTGCTCGCTTCAGCCTCCTGCACATTAAGGTTTAAAGTGAGGGGGTTATGGGGAAGTCTCCATGGAGCCTGAACAACTTGATAGTCACCAGAAACAGTTTTGCACTTTTGTTTCTTGAGACAAGGTACATACTCACTATGTAGCCCAGACTGACCTACTGGAATGGAGGTCCAACCCACCATGCCTGGATCTTTTTGAGCTTTTGAATGTTATACCATACACGATTGCTACCTATTGAAAAATAAATTACTTTGAGGAATTTAGTGGCATCCTATGTATCTTTTGTTTTGTTTTGTTTTTGTACCATTGTCTCATCTTTGTGTAAAGTCTTGTTTTTATGATTCAAGCTGTTCTACTACATCAATTTTTCTGGGGAGCAAGCACTGTTACATGCTTTGGAAGTGATAATGCCAGCTGGCCACCACTTTGTGGCTAGAATACAAGCCTCCCAACCCTCAAGTCAACACTATCCCTGAATCTGCCTGCCAACTTTGTGGTAGAATCTGGCTGCATAAAGCCCAAAGAAACACAGATCAATCAGGAGCCTGTGATTTCATTCAGTTCAGAGCAGGACATAGTCAGTAACAAACCTTGATGGAAAGTCTCCACTGCACAGAACTCTGCCCCTTCCTAGACAACGGAAAACACAAAGGCACCACAGTCTAACTGACCAGCAGGTGCCACTGATGGCAGAGCCTTGTGCTAGGATATGAACCTGCTGCCTGATAGGTATGCAAATGCCTATGTCTGAAAGGTAGTGTGATCACAGAAGGGCGAGCCATCTGCTGGACAGCTGCCAAACTTCTGGAGATTTAAAGCATGAACATCACATATACAAGCCCAGGGATGTGGCTTCAACTTCTCAAGTCAATGTTTTCCTACTGGATTTCCAATTTCCTATTCCACCTAATGGGGGAAGTTCAAAAGAGCTATGGTCAGACTTACCAAGATAATTAGAATTTGCTAAGGTACCATGTGGTAAATACTCATTGCATCATTGGGTATTGGGGGTCCTACAGTGTGGTTGGCATTCTGGGAGAGAGACATACTGTTTTCCTTTTTTTCCTATGCATCCATAGTTACCTATTAATCTGGTGTCCAAAAATTGTTTTAGCCTAGTATGGTGGTTCATGCTTGTAATACATGTATTCAGGAGGCAGAGGCAGGAGTGCCATGAGTTTAAGGTTGGTCTGGTCTAGTGGCTGTTAAATTGCTGAGTTGTCTAGAGTTATCCTTACTTGCTATTTAGTTTACAGCTGGCCTTCTAAATGATGCTCTTAAAATAGTCTAATAGTACTACTGTGCGTTGTGTACTAGCTATATGCCAGGCATTCTGGTAAGTGCTTTATATGACTTGTTTTTTAAACAATCTTTTTATTTTATATATGCATGTGTGTATACAGCATATGTGCATGCATGCTTGCACTCGTGTGTGAATGTGGGCATGCACACGTGTCATGGTGTCCAGCCTTGGGTGTTCGTTCTTGCTTTCCACCCTGTTTGAGACAGGGTCTCATTATCACTGGCTGGCCTGAGTCTCTGGAGATTCTCCTATCTCAGACTCCCATCTCCCTGCAAGAATGCTGGGATTACAGATGTTCCTGATACACAGCCAGCTTTTGCACAGGTTTTGGGCATTTGAATTCAGGTCCTCACATTTGTGACAAGTGCTGAACCCACTAAGCCATTTTACCAACCCTATGCCAATTATTTCACTCAGTTCTCACACCAATTCCAGTTTTACAAAGGGAGAAATTCAGCTTCATCAAACATCATTTGTACTGGTTCACAGGTGGTGAAACAAGGATTCCGATCCAGACTGTTACTAAGTCAGTAGCATAGTGACCGGCTGTATGTCTGGCATGGAGGGCAGAGGAGGAATGACATTGCTACTCCCACTCCGCCTTCCTCAGGATCATGATCTAGGCAAATCGTTTTTATTTCCAAATCCATGGTTGTTTGCTTTTGAATCAGGGAGTCCATCACAATGTAGCTCGGGCTTGCTTTGAAGATCCACCTGCCCCAGGCTTCCCAGTACTGGAGCCACAGATGCATGCCACCACATCCCATCCCAGTACATGACTGTGACATTGAGACTCTACAACGTGCTTGCATGCCTCCGTGGGTGGGGGGTTCTTTTGATGGGGGGGTGTAAGGGTGAGTTGAAACCTCGTCTCATGAAGACTTGACTGTCATGCAACTTAGGATAGCTAAGTATAAATGTCACATCCTCCTGCCTCCACCTCCTGAGTGCTGGAATAACCAGGGTCAACCACTATCCCCAGCTTTGAAGCCACATTTTCAGTGGTGGGTACTCCCAAGGAAGAACTGGTATTTGGAGGGAATCTGATGAAGTTTCTCTGACCTTTAATCTTCTTTCCTGTTTAAGAAAATACGTTTTCTGTGTTCATGTGTGTGTGTGCGCGCGCGCGCGAGCGCGCTGTGCAGACTTGTAACCCCACACTCAGAAGACTAAGACAGGAGGATCCTCAGTATAAAGAGAATTCTGGAAACAGCTGTAATAACTAGGTAGGTTATTTCCTCAAACGATTCCTCTGAGGTTTTTTTTTTCCTTTTGAAAAATGGTTCTCTTATTGCATGCCTGTTGGGAGAACTATTGAGATAATGAATCTACCACGTAATTCACATCCAATAAACTGTCAACGGGATTAAGAGTCGTAAGCAAATTACAGGATCACTGGTGAGACAGGCCTGTTTGGAGAGCATCGAGTAACAGTTTGTTCAGCTGAATACAGCTCCGATCTCAAAGGTGCACGCACCTGATCCAAGATCTTGGGATCCAGACTTAAAAATATTAGTCGATGAATAAGGCCAATTCTATCGGGGAAACGGGATGTCATTTACGAAACAAGATCTATGCAGCCACCTACTAACTAATTCCTTTAGTCCCCTGTGGTTCAGCTAGCTGTAAAGTGAGCATTCGGGCCTCATCTTAGTTCTGAGCCTACAGGCTGAATATGGAAGCCTCTGAAAAGAACATCATTCGCGCACGCGAGTTTGCAGCTCGCCAGTCCCCGCGGCCCACGCCCACGCTCAGCAGCAGTCTCGGAGCCCCCGCTCTGCCCTCTCTTCCTGGTTTTCCCCAGCAACCCGCCCCTCTGGAGTCACGTGACAGGGCGCCGGCCGGACTGAGCCCCCGATTGGCCGGGCTTCAGGACGCCTCGCGATTGGCCCGGGGCGGCGGGCCCCCGCCTCCCTCCTCCTCCTCGCCGCGGCCCACGTGAGGGGGGCGAGTCACGCGATTTCCGGGAACCCGTCAGGAAGGACATAAACAAAACAAACCCGAGGCAGCATGGAGAGGGGCCGCGGCTGCGGCAGCGCGGTCGAACCCAGCGCTTGAGAGACCCTCAGCTTCAGGTGAGCGCCGAGCGTTCGCACGGGAGAGCGGGATGCGGCGGCCGAGAGTTACGAGCGTGGGGCGCGGGTGTCCGGCTCTGGCCGAGCGGGGCGGGGGCCGCCGGGCCGAGGGCGCGCGGGACGAGGCCGCCGGTGCGAGCCGGGCCAGGCTGCTGCCGCGGCCGACGGTTACCTAAAAGGCGGGCGCGCGGACGGGGGTCCGTCCCCTCCGGTGTCCGGCCCTTTGCGCGCCCGGGAGCGGGGGGCCGCGGCTGCCGGCAGCCGGCCTGTCAGAGCGGCGAGCGGGTGGGAGGGGCCGGGCGGGAGGGGAGGAGAGGGGCGTGTGAGGGAGGCCGGCACGGCTGGCGCTCGGAGGGCTGGGGACAGGCGCGGGCCTGGCGAACTCCGGGCAGGGGCGTCGTAGGGCCGCGGCTTCCCCCCCCCCGCCCCTCCTCGGGGGCGGCGGGCGACGGGGGCCTCCCTCTCGGGATTTGTTTATATGTCCTCTCTAAGCAGCTTGAACGGCCCGGAGGCGGAGCCCTCGCAGGCGAGTGGCGGCCGGTGCTGTCCAATGGAGGAGGGGAGCGGGGACCTTGCGTCCAATGGGCGCGGGGGGGCGGTGCCACGGGCCCCCAGGAGGTTAGGCTGTGCTGGGGGTGGGGCGGGCGGGGCGGCCATATTAGATGGGAGGGGACGGGGATCGGGGGGAGCCGGGCCGGGGGCGGGCCGGGTGTCGGCTGGAGTCCCAGCGGACCCGGAAACCGCCCGGAGGAGCCCGACCCGGCTCGGCTGCTCCCGGAGTGGAGGTGGCCGGGAAGTACCGAGGGCAGTCTAGCCTCCCAGGGGGCGGTTCCTGGGACTAGATGGAGCTTAGTCTCTGGCTTCTCTCTCTTGCTCGGCCCTCCGCTTGCTTGACAAATCCTGCCGCCAAACCCTGTAACCGCCCTCCTTTAACCCAAGAAAGCAAACCTTTCTGCTGTTTCTGAGCAGGCTTGAGTCTTAGGACTACCTTAAGGAGGTATTTGGGTAACTAGCGGTTTGTTTCTCTACCAGGCCTCGGGTAGAGGCAGTCAATCAGGAACTTTGGCATCTCTGGGTTTTGCAAAGAGAAAACCGGGGACTGGAAAAGCAGAGAAAGTTGAGGGCTGGGCGGGGTTCCCATTTTTTTCATGTGGACGCCTCCCAAAGATCAGGCCCCTGTGCGTCTCCTCTCTTGCTCAAACACATTGGAAGCTGACATACATCAACTTCATGAGAAAACTAATTCGTGAGAAAAGTATTTAGGTTTGAAAGATCTTTAGGACTTTTGTCTTTCCAGTACCAGCAGGTGAGAAAGAGGATCAAAGTCTGAATTTTTAAAAAGCAGAAGAGGTTTTTTGTAAATCTCGTGATCTATGGTAAAATAAATGACTGCCATTTCATTGTACTTTAAAATAGCATTTTTCAGTGTTATCTAATCTAAAATAACGGAGAGATGCACAAGGAGAAAATGGTGTGGTTATGGAATTAGAAAATCACTTATTTGTGTTGGGATTGTTTTGGTTCCATGCTAGCCCTGTTAAATGCTTATTTAAGTTTCTATTACCGTGAGCTTACAACCTGCGACCACATTTGTATTGTCAAAGGTACCAGGCTACTGATGCGTCTTTGAGCACTTAGAAGTAGGAACACACTGCAGATATATTATCCTGGGATGCTCTTCAAGAGTTGAGCTGAAGAAAAATCTTAACAAATGGGAAATAAATTATTCATCAACTTTAATATTAGTTTTATGTGACTGACCCTCGGTTTTGTTAAAACACTGTAAAAATATAACCCTAAATTATTTGATATATTTTAAAAATTGAGCCTAATTTTTATTTATTTATTTATTGTTTATTTGTTTTTTGTTTGTTTGTTTTTGAAACAGGATTTCTCTATGTAGCCCTGACTGTCCTGGAACTCACTCTGTAGACCAGGCTGCCTCAAACTCAGAGATTTGCCTGCCTCTATCTCCCAAGTGTTGGGATTAAGTCATGCGCCACCACTGCCGCGCTAAGTATAATTTTTCTAGTAGATGAAATATTAGCCCTATATTCTATGACTTAATATTGTATTGCTAAGTTCCAATCTGCCATAATGCCATGGTCAGTTATAAAAGGATATAACTAATTGTTTCACCGATACCTAGAATACTTATATTCAAGACAGTTTTCACTTGCTTATGTAGTAATTTCTTAAGAATGACAAATATTTACACCAGAACTTATTTTGATTAAAATTCTTTTATATGCTTAGTATACTTTAGGGTTTAAGAAATTGTAAGTAAGTAAATTAGTAAGCGTTGGGGCTTAAAGAATCATTATTATTGTTGAGACAAGGTTTTTCACTTTGTAGCCCAGTTAGTTTTGAACTCCAGAGCATCAGGTATTTCTTCATGCTGGGACTACAGACAAGTACCTTGTGCCTAGCTCTGGAATTTTTAGTATAGTAAGAATACCAATTTTGGGTTCTTCATTTATCTTGTCATTCTGAATGTTTTATAACAAAGTGAAAACAAACTTTTATGAAGAAAATAACCTATTTGGTTGGTCTGAGTTCCAGAGCAAAAGGATAATTGATAAAAGTCCCTGATGTTGGGGACAGGAACAAGGGATCGTGGGAGTCCAGAGACAGCGAGTCCAGAGACACTGTATCTTTATTGAGTTAGTGTAGTGATTTTTATTTCTGTTTGCTTCTTTGTTTATTTTTGAGACAGGGTCTCTCAGTTAGGAAGCCCTGACTGTCCTAGAACTCACTGTGTGTTAATCAGAATGGCCTTGAGCTCACAGAGCACTAAGTCTCTTCCTCCAGATTGCTGGGATTAAAGGTGCTAGCCACCACACTTGACAGAGTAGTGGCTTTTAAAACAGTAAATAAAGTTCATTGTTACTTTTAAAGTGTAATTTTTAGTCAAGACTAACAATGGTATTTTGAGATTCATTAGTAGTTTTATTTTCAGTTAGGTTTGTACCTGACTTTTTGGGGAAAGGTCTCACTGACATTCAGTAATGTTTCATTCCAAGGGAAACATTCCCACTCAAAATTTGTCACACTGTTTTTGTTTGGTCCTGTGAGGTACAGTCTTACGGTCTTTCCATTGTTGCCCAGGTTGGCTTTGAATGCTTTGATCTTCCTGCCTCAGCCTCCAGCGTTACTGGAATCATAGAGATATGCCGCAGTGCCTAGTTGTTGGTTTTAATTATCCAGGACAGGAGTAACTGAACTTCTTATTGCATAGAATTAAGTAGTTAATATTTAATCATCTCTGTAATGACTGTTCACCTCTGCATGGTGATGATTGATAAGAAGACACCATAGAGAATGCATTTTAGCTATATTCCAATAAAACTTTGTTTATAGGAGCAAGCTGTGCCTACTGGTAGCCCATGGCCATTGATAACCTCTGAAGTGCTCAGGTGTAAGGAATTGCAGGAGATGTAAATAAACACTTCAGATAGTATTGGCTCAATAGTCTAATGTTAGAATCTCCTGCCTTGAAAAGTTTCACTAGAGGAACACAGGGCACATCCTATTTTAGAATTTTACAGCCATGTAGATGTTTTGTTTTGTTTTTTAATTTATTTATTTTTTTATTTATTTATTTGAGATTTCTGTCTCTTCCCCGCCACCGCCTCCCATTTCCCTCCCGCTCATGTAGATGTTTTGAAACTTTTAGGTAGCTATTGGTTTAGTTCTGTTTGTTTTAAAGGTGCTTTTTTTTTTCCCTTTCTTTTTTGAGACTTGCGCCTTGGTTTTTAGCCAAGCTGGCCTTGAACTCCACTATGTTGCCCAGCCTGGGCTACAACTTGTTTTGTTGTTGTTGTGTGATTTTTGTTAGTTTGTTGAGATAGGGTCTCTTGTTGGCCAGAAATATGACCTTGATTCCTAATTCTGCCGCCTTCCTTTCCCAATAGGGAATTATAAGCAGCCGTGTATATTATTGGTTTGTCATAATTGGGGTTTTGAATGGTGACATTGGGGGTTGAGCCAGGGTCTCTACATAACTCTGGCTGTCTTGGAACATACTGTGTAGACTAGACTGGTCTTGAACTCACAGAGATCTGCTTTCTTCTGTCTCCTAAGTGTTGGGATTAAAGGAATGCACCACCATACCACATCTGGTTTAAGATTTTTTTTTTTTTATTTTCGAGACAGTGTTTCTCCATAGCTTTTGGTTCCTGTCCTGGAACGAGCTCTTGTAGACCAGGCTGGCCTCGAACTCACAGAGATCTGCCTGCCTCTGCCTCCCGAGTGCTGGGATTAAAGGAGTGCGCCACCACTGCCCGGCTAAGATAATTTTTATAACAAGGTCCCTTTTGTGGGGGAGAGAAATACAAAAATTCTTTTTTACAAAGATTTGTATTGCATTTGTGTGTCCAGGCACAAGTGTGCTAGAGCATGCACATGAAGATGAGATCCAGCTTTCAGGAGTCTTTCCTTCCTATTCCACTGTGTGTCCTGTCACGGGTTGTCATGTTTGGTGGCAAGTGCCTTTGTTCACTGAGCTGACTTGCTTGGCCTGTAAAATCATTCTTGCTGGCTACTCTGATTCGTACTTGTGAGACAAAGTAGACTAGGAGAGATGCAGAGGACTTCCATGTTACTTCCTGACTGTAGTACTCCTCTGTTCCGTCACTAGCCACATCGTGTCTGCTTTTTACCAGATTCTGACCTTCCCCTCCAAAATCTGTAAGCTGTTCTCTAAACTGCTATTGATTTACTAATTCTAGTTATCCAGTTCTTCTTCCCATGTCTCTCTTTTGAGACAGTCTCAGGCTAGGCTTGCACTCTCTGTGTAGCTAAAACTGGCCTCGAATTCCTGATATTCTTGCCTCCACCTCTCAGGTGCTGTGATTACAGACATGAGACACCAATGTCCAATTATTTTGTACTTTTAACACCAACAGTGCTTTGATACCTTTTGTTTCAGGATTGTATTTTCACTTAATTTTCTTTTTTTTCTTAAAATAGGATCTAATTATGTAATGGTGCCTGGCCTT